AGCTTCACGTATATGTATCAGATATCGCCCAACTTGTCTGGCAGTTTTAGCGCATGATAAATGGACTAGTTTACCTCGGTCTCCGAGCTGACATCGAAGCGATACTGTTGCATCACACGGACCACCGCCATCTTGCCTTGCATCAAGGCAAAGCGCATACCTATGCAGTTACGGGGACCAAAGCCAAAGGGCAGAAAAGTGCACGGCTTGATGGCAGCCTTGTTCTCAGGGCTGAACCTGGAACAACAGAATTTGCCAGTTCCATTAAATACTACGCTAGGGAGATAATATCTGTCACTGTCCTCTATCCCTTGATGTGCACCTTAGGGGTGAAAGGGCACGCAGATGCAAGGAGTCATTTAGTTCTCGACACTGACATTGGTTGCAAAAGATGACAAAGTATAGTGTCACTGTGTAATAAGGTACTTCTGTTTACCTCTCGGGGGCGAACTTGGAGGGACTTTCCCAGTATTGTTCATCATAGTGAAGCGTCCAGGTGCTTACAATCAAGTGCACGCCCTTTTCAATGGTGAGGCCGTTGACAGTCACAGTGTCGTTACACACACGATCAAACCTGCATAGCGAATGATTCCAATAAAGGCAAGTTTTGCAAAAAATAATCGTTTTTGAAGTTGGTTTGCAAAAACTTGGCATGTATATAAACGCACTGTTAAAAGACAAAACGTGCAATATCAAGAAGGGGACATATTTCAAAACTTCCCAGGCCACGATACAACCTATCAACACACCTTACACGCTCTAAAATACTTCAGAGTTTGACATGATGTCACGTCAAGTAGAAGGTTGCATTTACGTTTGCTTTCAGCAACATCAGGACAAGTCTGTTGAGATGGGAATATTTTAGACTGGAATGGACATGCGACAACTAAATCAACGTTAATAAGTAATCCAAGAAAAAATTTCCTAGGTACTATTTTATACATGTACACAGTGTGCTTACGCGACGGCTGGAGGGTACATGCGCAATGACTCGTTAATGACCATGTCCAAATACTCCATCTTGGCGATGACGTCATAGCCAATGCTATCTCTTGTGGGTGCGAGGTTGTCAATCTCAGCGTGTAGCTTCCCCTGCGCTTCTTGGTTGGTGGCCAGCAGGTAAGCGGTGAAGCTAAGCAGTGTGCTGGTTGTCTCGTACCCAGCCAGGAAAAAGATAAGCGACTGTAACATTTTGACAGATATTGCAAAGTTTAATAGTTTCAAACGAAGATAACTACGGTGGTTTAAGAACGCTTTCCAACTTGAGATCCTGCTAAAATATTATCTGAAAAGATTTCATTTTAGAGGCCTGACGGCCTGATAAGGAGGCTAGTTTCAAACGAGGATACAACTACGGTGGCTTAAATGCCTTCCGATTTGCTAAGATCCTGCTACAATATTATCTAAAAAGATGCCATTATAGAGGTCAGACGTCAGCATTTTGAGAAATACTATTAAAGTGACATTAGCAAGCAAAGTATCTCAAGTTGCATCATCCTGTCTAAAAGTAAAATCCACCTGAGCCATGACATCTTCGGTTGAGAGGGGTTTTCGAGGGGCCACACTCCTGTTCTGGTTGTCCTCTGAGAAAGGCGTGTTCTCCTGGTCTAACTCGTCGTCGTTGTGGGCTTTCAGCATGAGTTGCAGAAGATCGACACGCTGTCAAAATGGCGTAAAGAGCAGCGATCATAAATATCGGACACAGTTTTCAAGAACTGAGATTTCTCTTCAGGTAACGTCATGCGTCGCAGGGTCCAACCTTCTTTAAATTCGGTATTCTTCAAATGAAAACTGATTCATCGTTTTCACGCTATTTTTGTTTTGTTTTGACAAAGACTAAACTCTGGACCCTAGTAACGACAACAACATCTACCTTTGAGGCTTTGGACTCCTCAGCCAATCGCATTTCGCGCGCAGTCTCCGTAACGTCCATGAAAAACTTGATGGCGTCGGGCGGAACCGGGTTAATTTTCAAGAAGGCACAGACATGCTTCAGGAACGGGAAAGCACCTGCCGAAATATTGTTAAGCAGAAAGTTGTTAATGCAGCCTGTTCTTTCCAGATGATCGCTTGAAGACATCCTCCTAAAGAATCTTTGATTCTACACATGCATTCGGACGAAAAACAGCAGGTCTCATTTGCCAATTTTATAAGCATCTTTTCACAAATTGTTTTTTAAAATGCAAAACTATTTGTTCCGTTGCCCTCTGTTCAAATTAATGACAGCTAAAATAAGCCACAGTCATTCATAAAATGGATTGTTGGAACGATTAAGAATGATTTGACCCTAAAAGAGCCCGGGTTGGAATTCACCCCCCCTCCCTTTGATTTTTCCGCAATATTGCCGCAGTGCATTTATTCACGACCCGAGCCCTTACATTGGAGAAACTTGGTGCAGTCATTTTCATACCAAGTTTGTGAAATCGAACTGCTCTTCTTTCGCTGCCCTACTTTTTTCCCTTCTGGCAGGTCAAACAAAGATATACATTAGGACGTATGGCCTTGAACTTTAGATGAAGTTAACGACAAACTAGCATGACAGACCATGTTGAAACTCAGTACTGATAAGGAGTGCAGTTATACGCACAGTTTTAAAAAATCAGGCACGGGACAGCCGCGTTCTCTGAGATGGCCTCAAAAGACGGTGCTGTTTTATGGTTTTAATTACTCTGAAAACTGTCAGGACGAATAAGTGATTGACAGAGACACAATGTTACATTTGTGCTTTTAGACGGGAATATTATGGAATTAAAATGTGCAAAGCTGACTTTTTCAGCGTTATGTGAGCAGTCAGTGACAGCTGGATTAGCGATGAAGAACGTTCATTTTCCTGGAGCTAAAGTTCAAAAAATTTTTTTCGGTTGAAACGTTCTCTTCGTCATCTGAAGACTTATGAAACGTTAACGCATCCTCTTTCCCAGGCTCAACTCACTGAGTAACAGGACAAATGGGTTCATCCTTGTAACTGAGAACGCCTTCTTCGCATACTTGACAAAAGGGTCGTCCTTGTTTTGTTGAGAGTCAACCTTGACCCCAAAACCGCAACTGGCGACGACGTCCATTGTAAAAGCCCCAAACACCCTGAAAAGAAGACAAACTTAAATGAAATCTAAC